TGTGGCACAGGAAGATTTCTGGTCCCTAACTGAGATTCATGAAGATATATAAATACATAGTATGCATGACTCTCACATCTGGCTCTCCGTAACTAAATACAACAGAATTATAAATAGTTCTGGACCCTTGGAGAACCACCATGTGATGAAACTAGACCACTGTGAAAGTCATTTGTGAGTCTACAACAAATGGAAACCAACATATGACTTGATTTTTCTTACTAGCAACACAACACAACATGACAAAGTGGAAGGAAGACAGCACAAGTCTAAGAGGGCTTTGAGAGGCAGAGTGGATGACACTGGAAATTCTCACGGGAATAATTCCCACTCCTGAGGAGCAGGAGAAATGTGTGACAGCCTGATGTCAAATTCTGATGTCTTAAGCCACACCTAATGTGAGCACATGCATTCCTTTTTGTTCTCAATCATTTCTCCTCTAAAAGGAAAGTTACCAGGGGTGGCTGGGTGGCTCAGTCAGTTGAGCTCAGGTAACTTTGGCACTGCTTTGTCCTGTTGTCATTGACTTTGAAAATAATCTAAATAAATTAAGCAAAGGATCACAATAATATATCCAAGATTTAATCCCGAGGTCATGATCTCGCAGTTCAGGGGTTCGAGCCTCACATCGGGCTCTGTGCTGACAGCTCAGAGCCTGGAGCCTGCTTTGGATTCTGTGTCTCCCTCTCTCTTTGCCCCTCCCCCGCTCGTGCTCTGTCTCTCTCTCTCTTCCTTAAAAATAAACATTAAAAAAAGTTTTTTTAAAGGAAAGTTACTGAACAAAAATAGAGCCCTATTAAAATGAATGATGCAAATATCCTTAATTAAAATGTCACTGATGTTTCTATATTAAAAACAGTATTTTCACATTCATATGCTATACATTTTGGTAAAAACGAATGACAGCTCAGAAGATTATTTATGATTGTCTACAGTAAGCACTTTTTTTTTTTTTTTTTTTTGAGTGTGTGTCCTTTAAGGTACCTGAGGTGCAGGTTTCTTGTGCAAGAGGGAATTCTTTCCCTACAAAACAAACATTTGTTTTCCAATTTTTAAACCAATCTGGATCTGTTGCTTAAACAAAAACCAAAATCCAACCAAACGACAGGGCCTGGCCAATCATAGATGGGCAGGTGAAGAAGACGGTGAGGGAAATGTCACTGTTATTCTGGAAGTAATACAGTCTTTCTAAAGGGCGTAGCCACACCCCCCTAAGTTTTCAGGGTTCTGAATTCAGGAACATCACATCAGCCAAACCATTTCCAAGAATACAAACCTAACTCCAGGTCAGTTAGGTCTTGACTATACGGAGAAAACCTCTCTCCTGTCATCAACAATTCAGTAGCAGCCTAGAAATGCTTCTTCTAAACAGGCTCTGTGGGTAAGACATAAAAGTGTCCCAACTAGTGTCCCTTCTTGTCTGGTGTTTACCACTTAGAATGCGACCCTGGGCAAGTCATTTAACTTCTCTATGCCACGGCTTCACAATCTGAAATAACAAAGATAATTGCAAATGCTTATTTCTTAGGGTTCTGTGTGGGTATGTGAACCTTCCTCGTCCCACGGAGAGGCACTTAATTCTTGCTGACTTGGAAAGAATTTCACCACAACATTTGCTGTGGTTTCTTCTGGGTGCCTATGTTATGGGTAGCTGCAAGGGTACACCTCAAATGTTACGTGGTTCTTCTCTGGGTGCTGGGGTTATGGGTTCTTTTTTTGTCTTCTTTTCTCATTTGTATTTTCCGCAGTGAATATATATTGCTTTTATAACTAGAACAACAAACGTTAACCAAATTCTCAAGACTGTTATAGATGAGCTCAGTTAGCCATCATCACTGTCTTAGGTCCTCAACACAGTCCACCTCAGGACATCTGGAATTCAGGTAGAACTTCCAGAAAAGGAGTTGAGTGCTGACCATTCTGATGGCGAAACAGAAGCAGAACCACGCAGCAATCACGGCACACATCTTACCAGATGTTAGCACACGTACATCAGAGCCGTCTGTCACACTTTATCATCTGTCTCCCTTCCCTCGAAAGTCAGGTGGACTCTGCCCCTGGTGACAGAGAAAAGCTGAGAAGTCTGTCTGTAGTCAAGCCTACAAGGAGGCTGTGAAAACTCACTCAGAGATTCAGCTTTAGGGCGGACTCATGGGAGCTCTAGAAATGTGGCTCCAATCTAGCACCTTCCAGGGAGGTCTTGACTCCCCGGTTCCTCCCACCTGCCTACTTCACACCTGCATCCCCAGGGCAGGACACTGTCAACAATAATCAAGGCCAAGTTAACAGACATGTATATAGATGGTGATGGGATATTAAGTCTCTTGGCTTCTCTTAGACTGTTTCCTCATTGGGCAAAATCAGGTGTCGGATATGATGCCTCCTAAGGTCCATGCCAGCATATCACTGTTACATTTGAAAATGGCACTGCTTTGTCCTAATTCTTTGTCATTGGCTTTGAAAATAATCTAAATAAATTAAGCAAAGGATCACAATAATATATCCAAGATTTAATCCCCAAGATTTAAACTAAAGTCACATGCTTAACATGCTCAGCAAAGGTGGCTCTTTACGAATGCCAAACTCATCACTGGCGTCAGTTAAACTCAAAGATGAAGAGGAAATATTAAGATACAGTCATGAAAAATGTTAAATGTAGTCACTGTGATGTGCAATTACAATGCTTAAAGAGGAATCAAAAAGGCTCAAATAAAGAGAAAATAAAGTCCAATTCACTGAAAACATCAACTAATGAGTCTATGAAACAAAGTCTGGGCCTTCAGCTAAAAAAAAAAAAAAAACAGACGGTTTTGTATTATATTTTAGTATAAATAAGTGGGATTAGAAATTTCCTCATACTCTCCATGCTCTGATTAATAAGAATTTAAGATCCACTGTAATTTTAAAGCACTATTTGATATCTCTTTTCCAAATTAATACACTTTATAGAAATAATGTCTATATTAATAGTTTTCTATAATTATCTGATTTTATGGGACACTGACTATACACATAACTTCTGAGATTAAAAACTGTATACATAGCTTGAGTATACAAATCATTGTATCAGTAAATTTGGTGGTCTACAGAATTCTTACATAACTTAGGGAATGATGGTTTTGCTGAAGAGGAGAATTTCACAGATGCGTAAGTAAAATGACCAACTCAAAAGTTACTACATGGCTTTTGTGGATCTAATACACACAAGAGGCTCAAATACAGACTTGCTGAGTAACAGCATGAATAATGACCCTGAGGAACATGATGAGGGTACTGGGTAATATTCCTGACACCGTTAAGATCTGGTGGCCCAGAAGTGGTCTCCAAGTGTGGGAGAGGATGGAGGGGACATGGGTGGGTGGAACTGATTCATTACAATTCTGTTTATACTTTTATTGTTAAATCTCCTCATTAGCATCTGAATAATGCCTTTTAATAAACGGTGATCATGGGAGGTAGCGGCAGAGGAAAAATTATAAATACACATGTAACTATTACTGTCAAGATCCCAAATATGTTTAAATTTCATGTATCTTTATTTCTATTTTATTATTTCAGTCACCGCGGGCTATGGTTAATATTTTAAAATCTGGGACTTCAAGAGAAGCCGGCTCCTTTCCCACCAGGGACGAAACAGAACTCGGGCCCACTCATGTTACAATTTTTCTTCCTGGCTGGGATATTCACGTGTTGTTTCACAGATTTTAAAACTCACGTGCTTATGTTTCTTTACGGGCACAATTTGACATCCGAGACACAGTCTCGAATGTCAAACTTCACTCGCTGAAGTGAGTATCTCCCAACACAGAGCTGCAAGCAAGAACCATGATCCAAAGGGAGCGTTCTGCAACGAGACTGCTTTTAGACAATCTGGCAGATGGTACTTGTTCATTACACAGAAACTTGTCCTAGGAGAAAACACACCAATTTACTTAAAAAAAAAAAAAAAAAAAAGAAGTTAAGTGGTCACACAGAATTAGCTGTACATCTCTGTCCTGGCCCCTAACGCCTCTGCCAAGCCAAGCAGGCCAGCCGTGAACATTTGCATATGTTAAAAACTGCCAACCGCATTATGCCTGCACTGGGCCAAGGAAGGATCATATAACCATGCAACTGAATGAGCCACCACCATCTAAGCCACATATGTATCGATTCAGGTCTGCCACGGATGGCTGTGTGAGTTTGTCATCCCTAAACCCTGACACCCATGGGTCAAACACCAACATTCCTGACAGTTTCCCAGAAACTCCAGCTACACTCCTCCTACTCAGTCCATTACCACAGAATAATGGAAAAGGAAGAGGGGACCCAACTCACCTCTTTATTGTAAAAAAATAAAAATAAAAACAGAGGTCTGAGGAGATTCAGTCATTCACACCTCATGTAAAGCTAGTTAATTACTATGCCAGGACTGAAATGCAGGCCACTGGTGTTTTCCCATCATTTTCGCTTTGTACCACACCAGGAGAGATAAAAAGAATGAACATAATGCATCTGTTTTCTGCAAACATGTCCACACAATAAAGGAACAGGCTCTTATATATCTTGGTGTAGCTTCAGCAAGAAAGAAAAATTGTACAAGTCTTTTTTTTTTTTTTTTTTTTTTTTACCTAAAATGTGTCTCAACGGTCCCTATGAACACATGATGCTTACAAACAAGATTCAAAGATATTGTCAAATAATCTGTTAACCACAAAAGCACTAGATATTGATTTGGAACCCCAACATTTTTTTCTCCAAAATGGCTCCCCTGGCAATTTCACATCGAGAAACTCAGAGACAAAGCAGCAACCAGTTTCATTCTGAAGCCAAGACCTTTGTAGTATATCCCACCATGGTTTCACATATGGCCAACCAGCAACCCCAACTGTATGGTGTGTGTGTGTCGGGGGCGGCGGGCGGTGACAGATCTGCCTGATTTTCACGAGAGCCAGAGTGTGATTGGGGCCATTTGCCTTTCAGAAAGAGTCTAAGAAAAGAAGCACAAGTTACTCTACATGTCAGCAAGGATTTCCAGCTTTAACCAGTACACATGCTCCAGGCTGGCAGATAGAAGTTGAAAAGGACACAGCTTTGCACCCAGCCGCCAGCTGAACTTGGTGGCAGGCTATAAAAAAAAAAAAAAAAAAAAAAAAAAAAAAAAAAAAAAAAGGCACAAATTATACATAGAAGGATGTGGGGGAGAGGGGAGAAGAAAATGCAATGAGCTAATGTTCCCACTTGGCATCTGCCTTTTGACTCAAAGAAAGAGATGGCTCTTTTCCAAAATTTTTCTATTATTGTGCTATCAGCTGCCTCTTGGACGTGCTTATAAAAGCGGAGACTGCCAACAAAACAAGACAAGATTTCTGTTGATAGTAGTAAATGTGCAAGCTCCTTGAAATAATAGGGATTTCGCTATTTCTCCTGCAAAGGCTACTTTGGGATTATTATTCCCGGCACGAGCTTCGGGACATGTACAGCCAGGTCCTGTTGAGGACTATGCGAACAGCAAATTCTGAAGTTAAAGAGGTGCTACCTTGATTCATGAATTTCCTCCTCCAATATAATTTAACTAAAGAGCAGTCTGAAACTGATTGGCGCTGGATGTTTCTTGCTGGACTGGCATTCAACCAAATGAATTTCTATTAGTTGGCCCTTTCAAATCTCAGTATTGCTCTATTACACCAACTTCTTACTGTGAAAACTGGAAATCAAAGAGAAAAAATTAAGCATCCAGCTTTTTTGAAAAGGACTATAGATTCTACCTACTTCGTGAGGGAAAGATCTTATTCAAACGCACAAACACAAAAAGGTAACAAACAAATGTACTAAGAGTGATAGATTCAAACTCCAGTGAAGAACCAGGAATGCTTCCAGCTTCCCTTTGGGGTGTAGAAAGCTAGGGAAAGCATCACTCCTCTCCTTACAATAAACATAAATGCTGGCCAATCTGCAAGTTAGTAACTTTTTCTTGAACCCATCAGAGAGCTGTGGCAGTAAGGCAGCTAAACAGAGTCTGAAAAGGTACCTGAGCACTTGCTCACCTAGGACGGACTCTGATGGACACTCAGAAGAACTCGGGCCAAAACCATGAACGGATTGCTAAAGGCTTAGTGTGAGCTAGCCAGAGAACACAGACCATGTTCACAGAACGTATAACGCAAAGTGTACTGGGGGCTACGATATACAAGAGTTCGCGCCCACTTCTAGGCTCTTCTCGGAACCTCTTATGGGCCTCCCCCAAGGGACAGGTGAGTCCACAGACAGCATCCTTTGTCATTCCTGGTTCAGTCCTGGGAGAAAGAAGAGCAGTCAGGGCAGGAAAAGTTTGTAAAACAAAAGGCTGCTCACATCCTTCTCTATCCCCATGGAACAAAAGCCGTCATTGCCTGGGAGAAAGGCAAAAACCGCGGTTTCCCTAAGGGAAATGGTAAAAACCTACTGCAGCTTAGGATAGGGGGATGGGAAATGAAAAGGGACCTCTAGACCGGGGGTGGGACAGGAACACAGGGAAGGCCACAACTCTAGTCACAGGGACACAGCCACTGCCTAAGATCAAGGCCTAATCACAGCGTACCCCGCTTGCCCGCCACCCGAGACTATAAAACACAGTAAGCAGCAGCAGCAGCAGCAGCGTGTGCCTGGGAGAGGGGCATGAGAGCACATGGGGAGCCTGCCCGAGCCGCAGCACAGAGGAAAGGCTGAAATTGAAGGTCAAGCAGACATGGAGAAAACCTCGTCAGCAAATCAGCCCCCACCCTCAGAAACAAGGTAACCCCGGAGGAATCTGAAGTGCTCGGTGTACAGGAGGTAACCGCAGCAACCCTAGGCATTCGGTAATACTGAATTATATAGTATATACGTACTAATATAAATGTTTTAATATAATATGTTGATATAGTAACTCATATAATTCGAAATGCAGTACGCAACAGAACAAGTAGAGAATAAGAATGGATTGGAACACCCAGGGGTGCTGGACTAAGTCAATCTAATTAACGTTTATAGAATATTCCACCCAACTAGAGAAGACTACACGTCAGTTTCAAGGGCACATGGCATTTTCACCAGGATGGACCATAAAATGTCACAACCAGGTGAGCCTCATCCTGGGAACGTAAACCTTCTTCAGCTTTGAAAATCAAAATAATGTAAGAAGAAAAAACAGATTAATAATCTCAACAGATAGAATTTTTTAAATTACTACTTACAATAGCCTACCTTCCCCTCCAAAAAAAATACTTAGGTATAAATCTAATATGTGGAGGATCTGGATGTTCAAAAAATCTAGCGATATGAAAATATGATTACAACAAAACACTGAGTGAAAACAAGGTACAAAATAGTATGTACTTTACAGTCAGAATTTTATAAAATGAACTCAAACCAAATATTTTTTTGCATAGGGAAAAAAAGGCTAAAGAAGGCCTTTAAGGCCTTTAAAACAGTGTCTCTTTGGGGGCGCCTGGGTGGCTCAGTCGGTTGGGCGTCCGGACTTTGGTTCAGGTCACGATCTCACGGTTCGTGAGTTAGGGCCCCGCATCAGGCTCTGTGCTGACAGCTCAGAGCCTGGAGCCTGCTTCCGTATTCTGTGTCTCCCTCTCTCTCTGTCCCTCTCCCCCACTCACATTCTGTCTCTCTCTCAAAAATAAATAAACATTAAAAAATTTTTAAAGCAATGTCTCTTTGGTTTTTTGTTCTTTTTTTATGGTTACTTATTATTATTATTTATTTTGAAAGAGACAGAGAGAGAGAGAGAGAGAGAGAGGAAGAGACAGCAATTGCACGAGCAGGGGAGGGGCAGAGAGAGAATCCCGGGCAGGCTCTGAACCGTGAGCATGGAGCCCGATGCAGGCCTCGATCTCACAAACCTGAGAGAAAGAAATGAAGAGTTGGACACTCAACTGACTGAGCCACCCAGGTGTCCCATGGTGTCTCATAATCACAAAGTGTTTTAAAGAAAATCAACCTGAAATTAATGTAAACAATTTGTAAAGCTAATCCCTTTGCTGCCACCTGGGTCTGTAAAATGTACTTCATGGAGTCTCGTTAGGCTAGTTTCTTTAGAACTAGTTCCATATGCTCTTGAAATCATTCACTGAAAATAAAGTTCTGTGGTCAAAGGAGTTTAGAAAACACTCATGTAATAAACTGGTTTCCCAACTGCAGAATTAATTAGAATCACGCTGTTCTGGATCCTTAAGGGAATATAGTTTGCTATATTTTTATAGCCTTGCAGTGTTTCCCAAATCTATCTGAATGCGGTACTTGCGGAGGGGAGAGCGAGACGTATGGGACAGGGTTGTTTCGGCTGACCTTCCAAAGTAGGGTGCAGACATCACAATATTTTGCTTCTAAATACTTCAGTGTGTATCTCCCAAGAATAAGGGACTTTCTGCTACTTACCCATGATACCATCGTCACATCCAAGAAAGTCAGATTACTTCCCTAACATCTAATCTCTCTAGTCCAAATACAGAATTCCCGTTTTCCCAAAAACTGTTTTTACAGTCAGTTTTTTAAGGTTCTCATGTTATGTTTGTTATTTCCTCTTAATACAAAACAACACCCTGTTTTTTTTCTT